ACTGATAAGATAGTCTGGCTGTTACTGGAATGTGCCTGCCTAAGGGCTAGGGTATATCCCAAAACCAAATAAAAGGATGGCGAGGCCTGAACACAAGTGGAGTCCATCCTCTTGGGATGGGCTCTTGCCTAGCCCCCCAATTTCAAAAAAAAGGGGGTGAGCGCAAGAGTTGGAAGGGGTTTCTCCGTTTTAACTATGCTTTTGGTAAAATCTTTTGTGCCATAAAAATTAATTTAAAGTAAAATATATTTTAGCTTGCTTTTTGCTTCAACAAACAGGTACCTCTAATACGGTGATTTTTCAACCTTGACTGCAAATTGGAATTGCCTAGGGCAGTGGTCGGCAAACTGCGTTTCCATCGCACTGTACGTGCGCACCCACACGTGGTATTTTGTGGAAGAGCCACACTCAAGGGGCCAAAGAGTCGCATGTGGCTAGCGAGCCACAGTTTGCCGACCACTGCCCTAACCAGTTTGGCTCAGTGGATAGAGCGTCGGCCTGCAGACTCAAGGGTCCCAGGTTCGATTCCGGTCAAGGGCATGTACCTTGGTTGCAGGCACATACCCAGTAGGGAGTGTGTAGGAGGCAGCTGACCGATATTTCTCTCTCATCAATGTTTCTAACTCTCTATCCTTCTCCCTTCCTCTCTGTAAAATATCCATAAAATATATTTTAAAAATTGTTATTAAAGAGTGAACCTGTGAAACCTTGGTACCTCATACTCAACCCCAATAAAGGTAGACCCCCAGGTCTGCACTCTCTCTCTCTTTTTCTCTACCTATGACTTCCGTGTGGCCTTGGGTGTGCTGTGTATACTCCTGGGCTTGTGAGTAGTAAATCTTGTTCTTTAAGTCCCAAGATGGCTGTTGCTGAGGTCGGTCTCAAAATCATAAGCACCACAAAGGTTGGTCCACCACAGAAATGGCTCTGGAAAATAAATGTCCCCACAAGTAGTATGGGCCCAGGTGACCTCAGGCATGATTGCATCAGTATGGATAGGTGAGACAAACACGAAACAGGTTATTTATCAAACCAGAGTCAAAATTGGCTGAATGGGGAGTACATTGTAAGAGGACCAGTGGGAAAAATCCTGTCTTGTTCCTGGAGAGTCTTCATAGATTTGCAGCTTGTGGATAGAAAGATTTTTTGCTTGGGTATAGGAGGTGTTGTAAAGCACACATTAAGGAGCTCACAATGAGTGGAGTGCCAATAATATATTCCAGAACAATTAAGTCAGAATCCCCATGGGTGCCTCACAGGCATTAATACAGTATATATACTTAAAGCTCCCTAGGCCAGTGGTCGGCAAACTCATTAGTCAACAGAGCCAAATATCAACAGTACAACGATTGAAATTTCTTTTGAGAGCCAAATTTTTTTAACTTAAACTATATAGGTAGGTACATTGTTATTAACTTAATTAGGGTACTCCTAAGCTGGCCTTTGCTAAAAACGTCCTCAATCTGAGGGGCCGACCTCAGCGAACATACCCCCACTTCTTCTAACGCCACTTCTTCAAAATAGACTCGCCCAGGCCAAAAACCAACTTCTGCGCATGGGCCACGAAGTTTCCATCGCACTGTACGTGCGCACCCACACGTGGTATTTTGTGGAAGAGCCACACTCAAGGGGTCAAAGAGCCGCATGTGGCTTGCGAGCCGCAGTTTGCCGACCACTGGCCTAGGCCAGCTCGAAGAAGGCCAGCAGTGTGCGGGAGAGCCCTTTGCAGAACACCCCGTAGGAGCTGGGGGCGGCAGCCGGGCTCGAGACCCCGAGGGCCCAGGCAGAGGGAGCCGCCACGGTGACCATGGCCATGGCCCCGATGTCGCTGCTCGCCAGATGTTTTTTTTGGATGGGGGCGCTGGGCTGTGGCTGCGTCCCCTCTGCCTGTCAGCCGCTGGCGCCCCGCCCCTTCCTGTCTCCTGTTAGCTTTGGAGTTGAACACGTGGTAGGTACAGGACGGTTTTTTCTCTATATATTGCCATACACGTTATTTCATATCACACTTATGGGCAGCCATAGAGATAGGATTTTCTCTTTAAAATGAAAGCAAGCTTAAAAGGGTAAAGACAAGGAATTAAATATATTAATAATGTTTGGAGAGTTTTTTTAAAAAAAATCTGTTCCTATGTTCTCCCTTTGGAGTTTCTTGTATTCTAAAACATATGCCTGGAATCGAAATTTTCCCATAGGCCAAGAAATAAGTACATATTTATAATTATAATTTTACCATGTTATAATAAAATCAGTGCAGTTTTTAATTGCTCAAAGCCACCTGAAAATACCACAATCTATTGTTCTTCAAGATTTGTCCATTACCTGTACTTGTCACTTATTGTTATTTACGAAAAATTTTGCTCCTAAATGAGGAACACTTTAAAAGTAGGGTAATACTGGGGAGAAAAGACTGAGGACCATTAAGCAAAATTTCTCAGCTGCAAAATAATTGTTTTTAGAATCCAACAATATGAATTTCCTTCCTTGCTTCCTTCTTCTTTGCTGTAGTCCTTCCTTCTTTCTTTCTTTCCAGGAACTGTAATCCTCCAACTGTGTTCTTTTTTTTTAATATATATTTTATTGATTTTTTTTTTCAGAGAGGAAGGGAGAGGGATAGAGAGTTAAAAACATCGATTAACTAACTGCCTCCTGCATACCCCCCACTGGGGATGTGCCCCCAACCAAGGTATATGCCCTTGACCGGAATCGAACCCAGGACCCTTCAGTCCTCAGGCCAACACTCTATCCACTGAGCCAAACCGGTTAGGGCCCAACTGTGTTCTTTTATAAAAAACTAGAGGCCCGGTGCACAAAAATTTGTGCACTCGGGGGAGAGGGGGTCCCTCAGCCCATCCTGTACCCTCTCGCAGTCTGGGACCCCTCGGGAGATAATGACCTGCTGGCTTAGGCCTGCTCCCGGGTGGCAGAGGCCAAT